TGCAGATCACTGACATCTCTACAATGGCATCTAAAACATGCCCCGAACACACATGCAGGCTGTCTTTCACTATACCACCTTTAAAGGGCCCATATTACACTTTTTCTCATCTGTTATAATGCTGTTTCCTCATCACAAACATACCTGGAGTTGTGCTTTGTTTCATTCGCACAGAGGATTTAGAGCTTTGGAGATGCAGACAGACTAATAATAAAGATTTACTCAAACAAATGTGAATGAAACAAAACACAACTCCAGGTATGTATTTTGACGAGGTATCAAACATTGTGCATAATATGAGACCTTCAAGCAGTTTGCCCATCAGTAAACCATTATCTTCACTCAAAGCATAGAAATGTGTCTGTTTTCAAGCTGCTACTGAACCAAACAAAAGTCTAGAATAGATCAGATATGGGCTGAAATACATGGAGGTTGTACCAAGTATTTAAAAATCAGTGCATGTAGGCCACAGCTCTATTTGCATTGTCACTTAGAGGAGCAGCCCTATAATTACAACTGGCATGACATTGATTTTAGCTCGCAAATAAGAAAGCTAACAACATCTGTTCGCTAATAGCTGTGTGCAGGAAAAATGTACAAGCGCCGTGTTTAATTTGAGCTGTTTAACGTTTCGGAGAAGGGCCATGATATGTTTGATGTAAAAGCTACTGGCAGAATATTTGTCTGGTTTAGAGGGGGTGTGTCTGGAAGCTGAATGGAGAAATAGGTGCTCTAGCAACCGGTAAGAGCGAAGACTAGAGAGCACTTTTAAAAGAATAAATGTTTCATAGTGAGAGGATCATGCTTGTTTGAATAAAAATAGGACAAAGTGTCTTGGGTGAAAATGCTGGACAGAAACCTGGACCATGCGAGGGAACAAACTGGTTTTAAAGGTTAGCCGCAAGAAGCCTGAATGACAATTCATTCAAATGCACATAATCTTTTCACATTAACTAGGATGGAAATAAGAAGCAAATGTTCTAAAATGTTGCAGCTGGTGTCTACAATGCAAAAGCAAAATTCTAAAACCGTATTTGCCTACTGCAATATAGACAACTGCAGCTATTTTCTATATTATGATGTTATTTCTTTTACTTAAAGTGGAACTAAATCAACTTTTTGGCTACTAAACTGCATATATGGTCTTTTTCTGTAGAATTGTCGACTGTTTTACAGTTTATTTTATTTTATTTGCAATTTTAGTACAAACTAGGTAAATTTGCTTTGCTTTGTGTTTGTGTGCTTCCTCTTGTGCAGACATGTTAAACTCAGGCCTGGATGCCAAATTTGGCCCACTATATAATTATATTTTGCCCGCAAAATCATATCAGATATGGATTAGAGCTGGCCCGCCAGCTACAGATAGGCTATAGAGACATTATTTAGCAAAACTATAATTAAACATTTATTTTAATAAGAAAAGGTTTAACATTACATATCTTGAAAGAAGAGAAAACATGCACATGTTGTTGAAATTTTTCAATAAATATTTGGTTTGACCCACAATTTAGTCCCAGCTTTTAATTTTGGCCCTCTGTGAATTTGAGTTTGACACCTCTGCTCTAGTGGCCACTTCAGTTTTAAGTACAATGTGACATCACGTATGACTTTCCTAATAATCCATAACCAGGTATTTCTGAAGACAAACGCCTGACTGTAGGGGCAGAATTTGAAGTGTGGAGACCTGTTTGACCAATCACAGAGTTCTTCATACGTCCAGACTCTGCCCTCTTCTCTCCTCTCATTCTTTTCTTTAGTCCTCCAGATACTGCCCAGTTTAGCAGCTCTATTTGCCATATGTTGGGGAAAATTAGACGTTTAGTCCCAGTTTAATTTATTGTTTTAATTTTTCCCAGTTTAGATTTGGTGAGGTAGAACATTCTGACATTGTGGAATATATAGGATCAAGAATGAGTTAAAAAATAGTAGTCTGCGCAACATTTTTACAGCTCCAATTGCATCCATAACTGTACACACTACTATAGCATTTTCTAGCCAGTGTCAACCTATATTTTTTCTCCATATATGGATGTCACGTCCTCTTCACCTCCGTTTGCAACTACCCATTGTGAGTTCAAACAGGGGACATCCGGGTTCTCTAACGTCCCTATACTCTACATTACAAATGCAGTAATCCTAGGCCTCTGTTGTATTTCAGCCCATATCCGTTACAGTGTAAACACCTAAGGCTCTTCTAGTACCACCACAGTACACACGATTCTAGTGGCAAAAACCTTACAAAGCTGATCATACAGAAATAACAAGCGCGGCCCTCTACACTGGTGTCGTGGGATCTGTCATACACTGCTTCCATTGTATGCAAATGCTTTCTAGTCCCAATACCTGCAAAATATGGACCTCATTCATAGCTAACAGCAGCTGCCAATTCCACATTACAACTGGAAAGAAAAGGAACATTGTTAATAAATGATTATACATTCTGTCCATTTGGTCATAGCACTACTTTTAGATTATACAGTGAATTCATAACAAGAAGTTGAGTATTTTTGTGAGCCGTGACGTGGCTGAAAAGAAATGCGTTTCTATCAAGCATTTGTGCGTGAATGGCAGATGTTCAGTTTTCCGTTTTGTGGAGACGAGGGATTCAGAGCGGACAACTATTTTTGGAGATGCTTGTTTGACAGCTCCTTTGGAAAATATGTGATGATAAAAAGACCAGACAGAGCCCCGATCACATCCAGAAAATGTCAGCTAGAGAATATAGATGCTACTAGACTTGCAAATTAAAGTGTTAGGAAGTGAATTGTGGGGGTATCAATGAAAATATACAAACATACTACCGTAGTAGAAGTTATAAAATGATAGCATATTTGGGTTTGTTACCATATAGTATTGATACTTTGCACTGACATCATGCTAAACGTTCCACCGAGTTGCACTTAGCAGTTACCATGGTGACACAATGTACACATTAGCGAACACTGACAAAAAAGTTTTAAGATTGTCTAAAAATTCAGCAGCCTGTGAATACAATAGAAAGTGTTCATGAGAGTGACTAACTGAAAACTTGTTGGCTAAAGGTCTAATTTGAGAAATAAACACTACGTCTAACAGAGCAGTGCTTTCAGTTAGTTTCACACCTCCAAGGAAAGTTGATGACACAAGCTGCAAAGTATCAACGTTGGAATAAATAAAACAGATCTGATTCTAATGGTAGAAGAAATGTTGAAAAATATTTGTCAAAATGGTGGGTTATGTATGTGTGTGTTGTCACTGTGGATTAGCAGATTTTGGTGGTGCCACACTGAATAGTCATCACCAGCATGCAAAGATCCAACTCGTGTGTCACTGCAATATAAAAAGATCTGTTTCACACTGCATAAGCGTTTTGTGTCATAAAATCATCTATTCTTGGGTAGATTCAGATTCAAAACACAGGAAAAAGAAAACAGCAATTTGAGATACAATATATCATTTGTGGACAAGGCATCAGTCTGCTCTCATTACAATACTCTTGTACTTTACATTTCCATGACAACTACAGTTCACTGTGTCTCAAAGCTAACCACTTGTATTAAAATCGTAAAATATAAACAACCTATTCAAATTCTAATTAATTAAAGGTGCACTGTGTAACTTCTCTGGTGGGGGTCCGTCAAATGCTTGTCTCCATGGAGATGTTATTGCTTTGTCTGGAATGTTTCACTGTATACAAGAATCAACATCATCAACAGTTATTGGCGTACAGCATCAACAATCGTCATACAACAGTACAACATCAACATCGTCAACAGTTATCGTCGAGTTTTAACTTTTCAAAGTAACGTTTTTGATCCTCAACAGTGACGTAAGAGTAAGATGATGATGTCTTGTCAAAACAATTAAATGCAAAACCTACTTCAAAATAAGACGAGTTATCTCATGGCAGACGTACGCAATGCAACTGTCAACACAAACGAGCGGCTCCACTGACTTTTTGCCTACCAGCCACTGCGCACGTGCAGAAAAGCTGGATGTAAACAAAAACGTTTTCTCATATGGTATTAAACCTTTATCTTCATGGAGACCAAACCAAACCAAGTTACAGGCCAGATCTATGGAGAGGCAAACCTGCTCACAGTCAGAGCACTCACCTGTAATTGAATAAATGTAAAGTAGATCTGTTTAATGTCATACTGTGGAACATTCCAGACAGAGCAATGCCATATCCATAGAAACAAGCAGGTGACAGACCTCAAACCAAAAAGTTACATAGTACACCTTTAAACTCAAGACTACCCAAGTTTTTTTGTTTTGTTTTTATGTGTAAAATACTTCAGTTTGTGGTGCTGTTTTAATATTTAGTATGCCTCAAAATTAACATTAGTGTTAGCATTGAGACACAAATCTCTACCTTTCTAAAACATTCATTTTATTTTGGAGTTTTTAACATGTTGTCAGAGATATCCACCCGCAACTCTGTCTCCAATGCCTTATCTATAAATATTTTTTCATTTTACTACGACTCAGCAAAAAACCCATAGATATACAATCAGGTAGGAAGTAGTGTTGTTGCCGGGTGCTGATAATTTGACCTACAATCGCTCATTTCTCTTTATAATAATAAGTTATACATATCTTCTTTGCTATTTTACAACTGTATTTGTCATCATATCCAACTCATACGAGCCTCCCAGAGAGCTGAAAATGCTTTAAACTTTTCAGGTTAGAAAATCCTTCCCCTGACGCAAATCGAAGTCTGGCCGGGCCTTTAGAGACGCCTGTGCTCAGTCCAGTCTCACACCTCCGACCACAGCTAATCAATGTTGACAGCCGCGTGAGTGCCCCCCGCTGGTCGCCCAGGTAACCGCCGCTTGGGTCGATCACAGAATATTGAGCCAGTGCCTTTAATACTCCACTCTGAGGAGATGTAAGAATAGCTGTAGTTTTTAAAAGTCTCTTGATTCAATTGTACGGATGTGTATGGCATGAGTCCACGCGGTCAGAGCTTGGGGTGTCATGCATGTATGTAGATGACACCCATCCCGCCCCACCCGGCACCCTACCCCTGAATGAATGCGTAAATCTCGGTTCTCGTTTGGCGCAGATTGGCGAAGGAACCAGTCACAGTGCTAGCGTTTCGGAGGCAGAGGTGGACACTTATCAGCGGCTTGGATCCAGCTCGGACAGTTCCTCGCAGTCATGGAAGTCAAGCCACAAAACAGTTTTACCAATGTGGGATTTTGCAGTTTCAGTTAGTAGTAATCCTCGTAGTTTTTGGGGTTGAGGCAATACAAGATCCCCCCTCCGAAAGAGAAGATGGTCCCTCCCCAGGCCAAACCGTAACCCCAGTTGAATTCGTGGTAGATTCGCAGGTTGATGCTTTCGATGAACTTGATGGGGTAGAGGACCAGACTGCAGGCTTGAAGGACAACTAGAAAAAAAAAAAAAAAAAAACACAGAAAAAAAAATGCAGTATTATTTCAGATCACTTCATCTTTCATGGCAGTCTTGTATGTAACAATCAGCTCACGCACTAAAGGATTCAATCAGGGCTATTGTGCAAGTGTAATGGTCTTGTCTAATATTGTAATGATATGATCTATCACAGACAAACCATTGTAGCTATAACATGATTTATTCAAATGTGAGCGTAAAGAATGCATGAGATTTCTAGATAAAGCATGCAACATTCAAATGCGCTCATAAATGAATCGTGTAGTGATTTTGTATGAAGGTTTTGTACTATCCTTCAAAAAACAGACCTGCATGTATTTTTAATTTGTCTTTCAGATGGAAAAGACGATGAACGGGAAAAAATATTGTATTGTAAATTGGATTTCCTCAATTAAAAACAGGCAAAAAAAAACCAAAGCAATAACAATTAACACACGAACATCATCATACCAAGTGATTCAAATTAAACTGTTAAAATTAATTTGGTTTTGAAATCAGAACAGCAAGGCTTTCCTGCAAATAACGCGATACAAAAGTTCCACAGTTGTACAAGAGCATTTAAATACATTAACTAGATACGAGTCCTGCACCCTTCATGGTTGTTTCTTTAGGCAGTAGTAAACCTGATGAGTTTTAGGTTTCAAAACTCAGTAATCAATAAGCAATTTAAAAGGAGGCCATGACATAGCAGAGCTGTCCAGCGCTGCTCCTGCCAAGAGGCTTTATGGTGTTTTCCAAGACAACTCTAGAGATATTTGACTTTTACTTTGAAGAACTTGAATCACTTCACTCGACAAAAGTGACTGCACACATTTTAAGACTATTTGAGCTGTCCAAAGATATACCGCATATATATTTTTTTTCAATTTAAAAATGATACATAAGGGAAACAAATATTGACAAAAAAAACAACAAAAAATCACTATAAAAAACACCTCTCTACACACAAAACTACACAATGCAACAAAACAAGGTAAACATTAAAGGTTCATTGCGTAACTTTTCTGGTGGAAGGTCCGTCACCTGCTTGTTTCTATGAATATGGCATTGTTCTGTCTAGAATGTTCCACAGTATGACATTAAACGGTTCTACCTTACATTTATTCAAGTACAGGTGGTTTTACAGCTCAAAAATATCTAGAAAAACAGGTATTCTGACTGTGAGTGGCATCGCCTCTCCACAGATCTGACCTGTAACTTGGTTTGGTTTAGTCTCCATGAAGATAGAAAGGTTTATTGTATTTTTCGGACTAAGTCGCTTTGGAGTATAAGTCGTACCAGCCAAAAATGGCATAATGAAGAATGAAAAAAACATATATAAGTCGCACTGGAGTATAAGTCCCAGGACGACCCAAACCATGAAAAAAGTGAGACTTATAGTCCAAAAAATACTGTGATACCGTACAATTAAAAAAATCCAGACTAAACAATAACATCTCCACAGAGACAGACCCTCCACTAGAAAAGTTACACAATGTACCTTTAAAATTATGCATAAGGAAAACAAAAACTGATGAAGCAAAAAACGAAAACAAAAAAACAAAAACAAAACAAAAAACATCCCACAACCCATCTCTCTCTTCACCCATAAAAACACACAAAGACATACAAACATTAACAGTCAGTCAAGTGCAGTCCTGTCAACATGTCAAAAAAAAAGTGTCCATGTCCATTTTAAGTCCACTTATTTCCCTCTTATTCACCGTATTCTGCCCCACTTTGTTGTGGTGGCACTTCTGTTTAAACGGCGATCCCGTTTATATCAATGATGAATCTGAGAAAGGTTTTGCACATTAAATATTAGGGGTGTGTAAAAATATCGAATCATGGACTGCTGTATCGATATATCTCCAAGAGTATTCTTTGGTATATTTTACTCAATTATTTTGTTACAGAGCTACAGTTTTGTTGTTTGTTTAGTGGAAGGAAACTCGTTTACGCAACACATTTGACATTTTCACTGTTTTAAGGATTAAAATGTTTCATATTCACTTTGCGCAAGAAGTGATTTAATAAAGACTTTTAGTGTCACAGCCATGATTTAGAGTTTTTTTTACTTGAACCGTATCAAATCGACTTTGAAATATATCGTACCAAATCGACAGTGCACTGTATCGAGATATGTATCGAATTGTGGCCTATGTATCGAGGTGTGTATCGTATCAGCAACTTCTTAATGATACCCACCAATATTAAATATGACATAAAGTTTGTTCATTCATGTAAAATGTTGAACGTTCATGTGCACCAACAAGTCAACAATGCACCGGTTCTCTGGGGGGATTTAAAACAGCTTTCTAGTCCGTATTGAACTTATCTGCTGTTAGGATCGGCAGGCCCATGCAAAATATCCAATAAAACCCGAATGATGATGGCGGCGCCCACGGCAACGTCCGGAATAAAGTGAATAGAACGGAGAGTCTTCTTTGGTGTGTGCAGTACGATAATAGTTCATTCACTTAATTAGTCTGACGGGGAGGAGCAGATGCCTTCTCCAATCCTTTAAGATGCACTTTTTGGAGCTGTCTAAAGATTTAAGGCGAATGAAAGATGGCGTGAAAACAACAACAGAAATTAGCATGGGCTGGGCTGGGAAGTGCGCCTGGGGCCTGTGCCATTTACAACTATTTACTTCATTTAGCACATTTTAGGAAAACAAAATTCATCAAAGTTGACCAGGCGAGAGGCTGTACTGATAGTGAGAGCACAGGGCTCGTGTAAGAGGCCACCGAGAAGAGAATGAGTTGATGTTACAATGGAGGGATGGATAGAGGTGAAGAGCCCCAGGGAGGAAAGGGGGCACAGAGATAGATGGTTAAAACAGCAGCAAGACAGAAAGAGAGGGAGAGGGAGAGGATGAGTGAGAGAGGGACAGAGAAGGGGTGGGACTGAACTGAAGAGAAAGGGAAATAGAGAGGGGGGGGATAGAGGGAGACAGAGAGAGAGAGGAGGAGTAGAAAGAGAGAGAGAGAAAGAAAGGGGAAGACTGAAAGAAAGGCAGAGAGTGAGAGAGAGAGATGCAGAGAGAGTGAGAGAAAAAAGGGTGATAGGGAATGAAAGAGATAGAGCGAGAGAGACGCAGAGAGAGAGAGTGAGGGAGAGAGAGGGAGAGAGAGAGGGTGAGAGAGAAAGAAAGAGAAACAGAGACAGAGAAAGAGCGAGACACACACACAGAGAGAAAGAGAGAGAGAGAGAAAGGGAGCGAGAGAAAGAGAGAGAAACACACAGAGAGAGAGAAAGAGAGAAAAACACACACACAGAGCGAAAGGTAGAGAGAAAGAAAGAAAGACAGACAGATAGAGAGATAGAGAAAGAGAGAGAAACATACAGACAGAGAGAGAAAGATAGAGAAACACACACACAGTGAGAGAGAAAGGGAGAGAGAGAGAAAGAAAGAAAGACAGATAGAGAGAGAGAAAGAGAGAGAGAGAGAAAGAGAGAGATAGAGAGAAAGGGAGAGAGAGAGAGAGAGAGAGAGAGAGAAAACACAGAGAGAGAGAAAAGAGAGAGAAACACACACACACACACACACACACAGAGAAACGCAGAGAGAGAAAGGGAGAGAGAAAGGGAGAGAGAGAAAGATAGAGAAACACAGAGAGAGACAGAGAGAGAAAGGGAGAGAGAGAGAGAAACACAGAGAGAGAGAGAAAGAGAGAGAAACACAGACACACAGACAGAGAGAGTGAGAGAAACACAGAGAGAGAGAGAAACGCACACACACAGAGAAAGGGAGAGAGAGAGAGAAACAGAGAGAGAGTGAGAGAGAGAAAGGGAGAGAGAGACCAAGTGAAAGAGAGATAGAGAGATGGCAGAGGAACAAAGACTAAACCATCAATCGTGGTTTTCTTCAGAGAGAATTCATCTTGGGGCGAGCATAAACAAGCCGTGGCACTTTAGTGAATAGAAGAAATAACACAATATGCATAATATCCACAAACTAATACTTACAAACACAGGCCCGCAGATATGTTGTCTACAAAGACATTTATCATTCAGTGAGTGTCCTGGCTTTAAAAGGCTCCTGTCCCTTCTAGCACTTTCTGGAGCTTTTTGTTGTCTGTCGTACATATTCATAAATAATTGATCTTTGCTCTGAAAGGAAATATTGCCTCTGAAGCATCTTTGAAGAATTGATTATTAGCGTTGCGTGATTTGACACTGTGAAACTGTGTGTGGTACAATGAGGGTTTTAAAAAGCAGTTGGTTTGAGAACAAGTTTGAAGGTGAAAAGATTAAACAAATATGGAAATTGGATCTGAAATCGCCTAATATATTCAACTGATATTTTTTTTGTCTCTGTGTGCCCATAGAAGTTATTCCCAGTTTGTTCTCATCAGATGGAAAATAGAGCAGTTAAGCTTATAAAATGTGGCTTTTGGATACATACATTATTTTTACAAAAGTATAAGGTATAAGTATAAGGTAAGAGAATCTTTATTTGACCCACAACGGGGAAATTCCAGAGTTCCAGAGTTTAAGAACAGCAAGAGAATAGAAATACGCACTCAAAAATCAATGTACAGTATATTAGAAAATAGACTTAAATTTAACACAATACAGTGCAAATATAATAAAATAAAATGCTGTCATGGCTTAAATGTGAGTACCTTTTTGTATAGTTAATATATTCATACCAATATCTGCAAATATCAGTTATCCGCCACAACAGTAACTTTTTATTATTACATAAACGCATTGCTGCCTAAAAAACATATTGCTCTGATAATGTATTTCCAATTCCAAAGTTGTGGGAAGAAATATTTGGCCATGATAAAGTACTACAACTACTATCAGGTATTGGTAACCATTCCAGACTTTTCCACCAATCTCAGGATTAAGATGATCTCATTTTGACGACTTCACTGGCTCCCGACAGGTTTCACCAAATTAAACTTTTCACAGTTTTTCCCAATATTCCCGGCAATACAAATGAGGAAAAGTGGAGAGTTTTTCCAATTTTAAATGAAATGGGCAGCCATGGCTCAGTGCTTTGACCCTGCTGAGCTGCACTGGTAAAAATAGGATTTGAACTAAATGAGAAGCGATAGAGTATATTTTTGCATTGCCAAGCGTGTGTGGCTTCAGATATCTATGCAGCATTATCATCTGAATGCTAATGTCAGTTTCAAATGCGATTACCCTGCAACCCTCTGCTTACCTTGTGTAAATGAGCTAATTAAGCCTTATTGTGCGTATGAGTGTGTGTGTGTGTATAATGTGAGAGGGGAGGGAGGGGCTGTCACTGACCTGCGGCAAATAGCATACAAGCAACAGGGCCATAGAAGCGCCGTCTCGTCCCGATGCACACCGCAACCAGGGCCACCAGGAATGACATCAGCACCAAGGCCCCGCCCCCTAGCAACAAGGCCAGCGTGGCAACCTGCCAGTCTGAGGACAAAAACAGGGAAACCATCAAATGAGTCATATGTAAACAAAACAACACAAAACGTCAATCTAATTATCTGTTATTAGGTGTGTTTTCAAAATAACGAAAGTTCGCTATTACAACTAGGAATCTTTTAACATTTATGCGTAGTATTGATTAATTGGTTACCTTACTGATATCTTAATTCTGGGTTAGGTGCCCAAAAGATACAATGACAGTATAAAGTGAGAGACTGGTATTCATCCCGTAAATCCTCTTCACTGATTTACCACTTGAGGTACGATTTGCGATGTTAAAAGTAAAAATACACTCACACATTCAATTCTTTTTCAATTCAATTCCTTTATTGTCATTGTCATATAAAATTACAACAAAATTATGTTAGAGCATCACACAAACTGCATAGTATTTTAAAAGTGCATAATAGTGTAGAGCACCCGCCCTATGACACCCACCACTGCGTTGAGGGACTTTTGCACTGACTTTTTTACGGACTAATCCCAGGACTGAACCAGAACTAAAACAGGACTAAAACAGGACTAAAGTAGGACTAAACCAGGACTAAACCGGTCTCAGTCCCAGTCTGGTCCTGGTCTGGTCCCGGTCTCAGCCCCGATCTGGTCATGGTCTGGTCCCGGTCTCAGTCTCAGTCCCGGTCTCAGTCCCGGTCTGGTTCCGGTCTCAGTCCTGGTCTGGTCATGGTCTGGTCCCGGTCTCAGTCTCAGTCCTGGTCTCAGTCCTGGTCTGGTCATGGTCTGGTCCCGGTCTCAGTCTCAGTCCTGGTTTCAGTCCCAGTCTTAATCCCGGTCTGGTCCTGGTCTGGTTCCGGTCTCAGTCCTGGTCTGGTCCAGGTCTCAGTGCTGGTCTCAGTCCCGGTCTGGTCCTGGTCTGGTTCCAGTCTCAGTCCTTTTCTCAGTCCTGGTCTCAGTTCCGATTCAGTCCTGGTTTAGTCCTGCTTTAGTCCTGCTTTAGTCCTGTTTTAGTCCTGGTTCAGTCAGTATGCGGCGCAAAAGTCTGGCATCACAGTTTAAGTCACGGAAACCTTTTTTTCCATTATTCATTTAAACATTTTGGTTTTGGAGACAAATAATGAAGAAAATAGTTGTTTTTTCATTTCTTATTTTTGGTTTTATTTTGAAAAATGAATGAACAAATGATACACGGATTTCACAAGAATACACTTTATGCAATATAGGACTTTTAAGTAATTTAACCAGTGAAAGAAAAAGTAGTAGCAGTAGTATTCGTAGTTGTAATGATAGTAGTAGCAGCAGTTATATGTAGTAAGTAGTCACTAGCAATGTAGCATTAGTACCAACAGCAGCAGCAGTAGTAGTAGTACTGATACTAAATACTCAATAGTAGTATTACTGGTGGTACAAGTGGTAAAATTAGTAGTATTGTTCTGCTGAAATAAAGATTTTCTTCAGTATTTGGTCTGAGGTTGCTTTCTCTTCAGTACCTCTTACACATCTGGAAGCTCGATCAAAAAAAATATGATAAAGAGGCTGGAGCACTCATGAATAAATACAATAGTGTTAAAAATGAAAAGACCTTTAGTGAGGGGTAGCAATGAGCCATGGGAGACGTATTCTTCTATTTGACATTTAATATTATGGTGGGAGCTGATTGGAGGAGGCGTGGGAGGGGTAGAAAAAGTGGATCTAGCGATGAATGAAGGAATTGGTAAGAAGAACAAATGGTGCCAAGGTAAACAATAGATATCAAGGAACAAAAGGGGAAGCCAGCCAAAAGGGAAGAGACACTATAAAGTGGGATAAGATACGGAGCTTTGATATAGGCGGAGCCCGTGTTATGTTACAAGGACAGGAGGAGGTGAAAAGAACGCTAAAAAGGAGGTAGGGAGAAGGGGTAAAGATGAAGGGAGCGAAACAAAAAGAGAGCACTTAGTATACCTGAGCCGACAAAAAGCATCGGCTAAAGAGCTTTGCTGGCTTCAAATCAAAAATCTGTCAGCTTTTACACTATAGAGGGCGCATCATGACACGGAAATAGCAACGGGATAAAGCCAGGGATAGACCAGAGCAGTGACCACAAGGGTGAGGTTACACAGAGGAGGAGGTGGTGAGGGGTGAGTGGAGGAGGGAAGGGGGTATTCTGGGTTGAGTGGCATGTTAACCACAATGGCGAAAAGGGAATTTGATAGCGATGTTGAAAATTTACGTCAATGAAATCAAGTGAAGGGCATGTACAGTTGTGATTTTGATGATGTTGTGTTATCTTTAAACTGATATTCATATACATAAACATTATAGACAGAGATTAACTGATAGACTTTAAATATATATTACACAAAATGGATTCTTGTGAGCTTTAAGCCATGTTAGAATGTACACTTGAAGCTGCGTTTTGTTTCATTGACAAATTAATACAAGTAACCCTGCATTATTAGACTGGTGACACCAACCGCCTTGTGATGTCATGAAAAAGTATTTTTCAAGTTAACATCAAATTTTTACCCTTCAGGTCAGAAGAGGTTGAAATTTTTAATCTGATTCAAGTGAAGATGTTTAAAAACACAGTGGAGCACTTCCTGTATTACCACATGACATCACAACATGCAGAATTTGTGTGTTAAACATGAGTGAATGAAACAAATCAAAACTCCAGGTATGTTTTGAAGAGGAAACAACATTATAACATAGATCAAGAAAAAGCATAATATAGGCCCTTTAAAATCATATTATCAACCTTAAGCTTTTGGTACATTCAAAGTGAAGTGAACAGGATAAAAATTAAATGTAACTTAAACTTGTAAGACAATCTGAGAACAGCTGAAGACAAAGCACCAAAGTTTCTGAATTAATAATTACACTTGCAATGAACACCTTGATTATAAATTAATTTTGTGCAGTAAAATGAGATGCTATTAGAACAGGGAAATAGAAAGGAATAAATTGTTAATAAAGAGCAGGTGGCTACTTTTTAAGATAGTCATTCAAAAGAGAATACATGAAAATGAAATGATAAATCAAGTAAGCAAGTTTATCAGTATTCAATCACGATTATTGACACTATGGCAAAACACTTAACTTTTCACACTTTCATATAGATCACCAAAGTTGTGATTAGTTTTATTAAATAGCCTCTGTTACATCATTTTCTGATCGATATTACAATGTTGTTTCCTCATCAAAAATAAACCAGAAGTTGTGTTTTGTTTCATTCACACACGTTTAACACACAAACCCTGCATATTTTAAGTGCGTATTTAGGAGTTCTTCTCTCAAACTGAAACCACTCTGTTCCACCTTGTAATGCCATGTGGTAATAGAGGAAGTGCTCCACTATGTTTTTAAATTCCATACACCATAAGAATCATCTGGATGATTTCAATGGTAGCTGGTAACTTGAAAACTACCTCTACATGACATCACAAGTTGGGAACAGAGCATTTTGAGCTTTGGAAATGCAAACTAATAATAAAGGGTTACTCAAACATGTGTGAATGAAACAAAACAAGTCCAGATATCTTTGAGCTGAAAACAACATTATAACAGATCAGAAAAGTGTCTAATATGAGCCCTTTAACCACATAATCTCAAACTAATTGCATACAATCTTTCTATCAATTCCATTCAGCTATCTATGTGCTATGAAATGACTTTGTGTTTTTTCATCGCACACAGACCTGCTCTTCCCCCCTCCCACTTCTAGACAATCAAGCTCAGATATTGTTGTGTAATCCATCTCCGCGCCCAGGGAGAGATTTTGACCATTTCTCTAACCTTTTATTCCACCTGTCTCCCACCACGCTGCGATCAAAACTCAAGCTGTCACGATGGCCGGGCCTGCTCCAAAACACATATATTTCTGCGTGACAAGATTCATTTCAGAACCTTAATAAATACATGAAATATATGGTAATCCTTATGTCATGGTGATTTGCGCATTTAATATCGGACTTTTTTACTATTAGCGATTTGTGGAAGAAGTGAAATTTGAATGAGTGTGGATTTAATGTGGTGTGTGTATGAGTAATTTACAAATATACCACAGGCAAGAGACGCAAGCCATACGGTGGTGATGAAGCTGACGAAACGTGGGTGTCAGGAGCGTCAGATAAGGAAAGATGAAAGATTTAGAGGAGGAGAAGGAGAAGAAGGAGGAGGAGAGAGGGTGGAGAGACAGAGAAAGGTGAGCGATAAGATGCAGAGGTGGACCGTAGGAGGCAAAACCAGAAGAGGATATTAAAGATGAGAGGAGATGAGAGCGCCAGGTGACGACAGACAAGAAGAAATAGTCCCACTTTAGCATTTAACAAGAGATTTGAAAGGTGCATTGTGTAACTTTTCTGTTGGAGGGTCCGTCAGATGGTTTTCTCCATGGAAATGTCATTGATTTGTCTGGAATGTTTCACAATATGGTATTAAACCTTTCTATCTTCATGGAGACCGACTCAGACCAGACAAGGCCAGGTCAGATCTGTGGAGAGGCAACCCCACTCACAGTGAGAATACCTATTTTTCTAGGTATTTTTGAGCTATAAAACCATCTGTAATTGAATACATTTTAGGTAGAGCTGTTTAAAGTCATACTGTGGAACATTTCAGACAGAGCGATGACATATCCATAGAAAAAAGGTGATGGAACCCTCCATCAGAAAAGTTACACAATGCACCTTTAACAATTTAAAGTGTTTTTATCCACATTAGTTAGTAGGGCTGGGGTATCATTAAGAAGTTGCTGATACGATACACACCTCGATACACAGGCCCTGATAAGATACATATCTTGATACAGTGCACTTTTGATTCGATATGATATATTTCAAATTAATTTGCTACAGTTCAATAAAAAATAATGGCTAAATCATGTCTGTGACACTAAAAGTCTTTGTTAAACCACTTCTTGTGCAAAGTGAATATGAAACACAAACATTTTAATCATCAAAACAGTGAAAATGTCAAATGTGTCGCATAAACGAGTTTCCTTCCTCTAAACAAGCAACAAAACTGTAGCGCTGTAACAAAATAATTTT